TCGGCTCGCTCATTACCCGGGAGCCCCGCATGGGCTTTGATCCAGAACAAATTCACAGATTTGCTCTGTTCCGAGGCCCGTTGCAGGTTCTCCCTGGTTTTCCGCGCAAGAGGGTGGAGTGAGCCATGGTNTGCTCTGTCCCCTGATTTTCTTTTTCAAGGCTCTTTTTTGCTCAAGGGGTTATTTATTTTTTCTTTTTCTTTTTATATATCTTTTCTTAATGAATATAGACCATACTTTTAATATTACTAATAAAAAACATCTTAATATCTATTTTACATTTTCTTTTTCTTAACTATTCTTAATATCTATTTATTTTCACATTTTCTCTCTCTACATTCTAGCAGATCCTTTTGGATACAGATGCTTATCCTACTTATTCTATTTATATCTATTTCTTATCTTAATACAGTTTCCTTTTTATTAACTATGCTTATTATCTTAACTTATTTCTATCCTATTTTAGCCATTCTTATGATATATATTATTAAATATATTCTAAGATATGATTTAAACATCCTTATTTCTATTATTTACTAATGTACAAATTGTTACGCAATAGTTTGCAAATTTTATTCCGATACTTTTATTTGCCAATAGTTCGTGTAGATTACCTATCGTGATTTTCTCGCCTGTGCTTTGCTCAAACTCATGCCTTAGTAAATTATGTATCGGGCACTCCACCAGCAGGTGAGGAACCGTGTCCTCTTTGTCATCATCGCATGCGCACGATGGATTCTCCCGACACTTGAATCGGTTCAGGTATTGGGAGAAACCACCATGCCCAGTGAGAATCTGTGTCAGTTTACCTATCGGCTTGAGTTTTCTCACACGACGATAGGCTTCGGACGCATTCGGGAAGAACAGTTTGGTTGTTGCCGCGGTACTACCCTCTGCATAGCGTGCGCTCCACCTGTCAATAGATGCGGCCCTTATCGCTCCTTTGGCAAAGGAAACTGGGCATCGGTCATAATGCGGCTTCCTTTTTATTGTTAGTGCCGCCTCTTTAGCCAATTCATCAGCTCGCTCATTACCCGGGAGCCCCGCATGGGCTTTGATCCAGAACAAATTCACAGATTTGCTCTGTTCCGAGGCCCGTTGCAGGTTCTCCCTGGTTTTCCGCGCAAGAGGGTGGAGTGAGCCATGGTTTGCAAGTGTCTCGAGCGCTGCTCTAGAGTCACTATACACTCCATAGCTCGTCTCCATCCTCTTGAGGATCACCTCAGTGGCTTCACATATGGCCAAGAGTTCGGCTTGATAGACTGTGCAGTGCGTTGATAGTTTAAGCTTTCGGTTCTGGATCTCGGCCTCACCCTTCCATATGGAGAGTGCAGCTCCGACCTTCCCCTCCAGCTTACTACCATCGGTGAAGATGCGCACCTGCTGCACGTTGTGCCTGTCCACAAGGTTTTGGTCTACCAAGCAAATGAACTCCAGGTTCATATGCGATGCAGGATGTGGAAGCTCCGCGAATCCCACCACACGCTCTACCTCCCTGTCACCCAGCACTGCCTCGGATGACCCTCTCTTGGCCTCGTACAGGGCGGCTGCCTCTTGCACTCTGAGGTCGAGAGGAAGTATCCCAGACAATAGGAGAGCCGAATGGAGGGAGACCGTGCGATACGATCCACAGAGCTTCTGGGCAAAACCTCTCTGCACTGTGTTGAGCTGCTTCTGAATGCCCAGCTTTTTAACAGCCGGAGCCCACGCTGCTGCTGCGTAGAGAATGACTGGCTCTACCGCCGCGGTGTATATAAGCCTGATGATCTCCGGGTCTAGGCCCCAGGTGACTTTGGCCGCGCGCGCGATCTGTTTATAGATGCTCAGTGCTCTGACGCACTGGTTAGCCACGTGGCTATTAAAGGTCAGATGGTCGTCGATCGTGAGCCCCAGGATCTTGATCTGCTTAGACATTCCAATGCTGGTCCCTCCCATGGTCAGCCGCGGGGTGTCGTATTTAAGCTTGTTGGTTAGCACCATTGCACAAGTTTTGTGCGGCGCAAACCTAAGCTTGTTACGCTCACCCCACTGCTGAACATAGGCGAGAGCTGCATTGGCCTGTCTCTCCACCTCCAAAGCTGTATCTCCATCGAAGACAAGCGTCACGTCGTCAGCGAAAGCTTGGCAACTATATCCCCTCTCTTCGAGTCCGTGTAGCAGTGGGTCCAGAAGAAGGTTCCAGAGAAGGGGGCCGCCAATTGACCCTTGCACGCAACCTTTCGTGGTGTTTCGCGTGCTTTCTTCCCCGGCAAATCTTACTGTGACTTTTCTGCAGCTCAGGTAGCTGTCGAGTAGCCTCCTTACGTTTACCGGGCACTTTTCCTCAGCCAGTCGGACTCTTATGGCTGGCCACCATGCGCTATCGAAGGCCCCCTCTATATCCAGTGACACTAGGCAGACCAGCTTCTTCAGCCCAATTTTGCCTCGGATATGGTGTACTAGTCTATAGAGGGCGTCCTCGGTGCTCTTCTGGGGCATGAATCCGTACTGGCGAGTACTAATCCTCGGTACTAAATGCCATTTCATCCTTGCTACTGTCATCTTTTCCAGGATCTTCCCCAAGACCGGCAATAGACCTATCGGTCTGTAAGCCTTGGGGTTCATGTAGTCGTCCTTGCCCGGTTTTCTAAGTACCACCACTGTGGCCTCCTTCCAGATGTCCGGGAAGTGTGCGATCTGCAAACACTTGTTGTAGAGGGCAAGGAGAGCGTCCGGATCCTGGAATATTGCTCTGCTGCAGATGTCTGCTGTGAAGCCATCCGCTCCTGGGGCCTTCTTTGGATTAAAACTCCCCGTCGCGGTCTCTAGCTCTAGCGATGTAAACGGCGGATCCTGTGAATCATCACTATCCCCGGCGTTTACTCGCTCGGCCGTTTCTCTGACCCGGCGATGGTCTAGGTTGTCCGTAACTTCGAGGTCTTCAGGGTAGAAAGTTTCAGCTAGTAGATTTGCCGATTCTTTGGGGTTGAGGTGTTTTCCATCATTGGTTTTCAGGGTCATGTCTTCTTCTCTCCTGGCGGTTCTGCTAATGATCCTGTAGATCCCTTCCCATACTCCTTCTCTGTCCTGTCTTCCGCAGAACTCTTTCCAGCTCGCGGTTCGGGCGTTCTTGGCATGGCACTCATAGTCTTCTTTCTTCTCCAGGTATTCTTCGACGACCTTAGCTCTACGATCTGGCGCAGCATTTCTAATCCTTCTTCTGAAGGTTATCATTGTCTTCTTCTTTATCGCGAGCTCCTCACTCCACCATGGGACTGTTATTCTCTCTGACGTTCTCTTTGTTGGCATGCTGACCTTACATGCTTCGGTTATTGCCGTTGTGTACTTGACGGTAATGTCTTCCAGCTGACCCTTTGTCTCTACACTGTTTATTGCCGCTGAGGTGATGTTGTGTTCGGCCTTGTATGATGTCAGCTTTTCTACGAAGAGGTCCCAGTTCGCTTTCTTGGTGTTGTAGAGTCGTGTTGTTCTGTGGACTCTGAAGCCTTTGCTCTTCGTCAGGTTTAACCGAAAGAGAATCGTGTTGTGGTCAGAGGTGGTTACGGACTGGTCTACCCTCCAGTTACTTATCAGTCCCATGAGGTCGTCGGTACAAGCTGTTATGTCGACAAAGCTTGTGATAGCCCTGTTACCTCTCACGGTGTCGAAAGTTGGCGTATCACCGGTGTTCAATACCTGGAGTCCGGACTCTTCCAGGGTCCCGGACATCTCAACGCCCCTGTGGTCTTCTATGGTGCTGCCCCACCAGGTGCTCTTGGCGTTACTGTCGCCTCCTATTATTAGTTTTGTCGGTCCCAGTTCTTCGCAAATGGTCTTAAGCCGGTCCAGGTATGGCCCTATGGGTTGGTCTGGTTCGAAGTAGAAGGACACCGCCGCGATTTCCCATACGCTGGTTCGGATCCTCACCACAACAATATTGTTGTCAGTGAGTTTCGGGCACTGTAAGACATCGATACTGTCATCGAAGACGATAATCGCTGCCTTGACAGTCCCATCTCCTACTGCTGCGTTCTGGAAGACTCTCGCCCCACGATAGTCCTTCATCCTTCTAACCCCTCCCACATATGGTTCCTGGACAAGAGCTATTGCGATTTTCCTGTTAGCGGACTCTATCATTAGTTCTTCTGTCGCTAACATCTTCCTCTGTAAGTTTGCCTGGGCGACCAGGTATCCTCTGGTGGGGCTGCCTGCCCCTGTATCCGCCGGGACCACCTTAGCAATACGCAATTTTCGCCCTAGCTAGTGCCTCCCACTTTCTACGCACTGCGCATTCTGGGCTAAACGCGTTATGTTCTACGCTGTCCACCATCTTGGCTGCTGTACAGTTACAACACCTAGGTGCTTCTCCTGCCAACCAGTCCGCACAGTCTCTCTTCATGTGGGGGCCTCCGCAGTGGCTGCATTTAGGGATGGTTTCCTTGCAGAACCTGCGACCATGGCCGTATCCCAAACATGACGAGCACTGTATCAACGGTGACTGGTCCTCCACCTTGATGCGTTGCATATCTATATGCGCATAACCTCTTCCAATCAAGTTATTGTACAGGCGGGGCGATACCTTCAACACAACATGACTGCATAGTTGATTTCTCGCTTTCCGCCTGTACTTGATCTCAACCCTGTTCTCTTCTTTCTTCACGTCCGCAAAGACATCTGCATTTTGGTTCTTGAGTGCTAGTAAAATGTCCTCATCGCTGTTTACCAGCAGAACGTCTTTGAGAACCACCATCGGGTCTTGGTTCTTGATATCCTCTACGCTAAGGTGGTCAGCTGCGCCTTTCAACCTCTCTTTGATTCGTTGTCGAGCTTCTTCGGTTCTGCATCCCACTACTACTTTGCGGTCTTTGACCTTACGAACTCGTTCAACTGTCACCCAGCGGTTAGGTTAGGTTAGGTTAGGTTAGGTTAGGTTAGGTTAGGTTAGGTTAGGTTAGGTTAGGTTAGGTTAGGTTAGGTTAGGTTAGGTTAGGTTAGGTTANCCACATATGGTTCCTGAACAAGAGCTATTGCGATTTTTCTGTTAGCGGACTCTATCATTAGTTCTTCTGTCGCTAACATCTTCCTCTGTAAGTTTGCCTGGGCGACCAGGTATCCTCTGGTGGGGCTGCCTGCCCCTGTATCCGCCGGGACCACCTTAGCAATACGCAATTTTCGCCCTAGCTAGTGCCTCCCACTTTCTACGCACTGCGCACTCTGGGCTAAACGCGTTGTGCTCTACGCTATCCACCATCTTGGCTGCTGTACAATTACAACACCTCGGTGCTTCTCCTGCCAACCAGTCCGCACAGTCTCTCTTCATGTGGGGGCCTCCGCAGTGGCTGCATTTAGGGATGGTTTCCTTGCAGAACCTGCGACCGTGGCCGTATCCCAAACATGACGAGCACTGTATCAACGGTGACTGGTCCTCCACCTTGATGCGTTGCATATCTATATGTGCATAGCCTCTACCAATCAAGTTGTTGTACAGGCGGGGCGATACCTTCAACACAACATGACTGCATAGTTGATTTCTCGCTTTCCGCCTGTACTTGATCTCAACCCTATTATCCTCCTTCTTCACGTCCGCAAAGACATCTGCATTCTGGTTTTTGAGTGCTAGTAGAATATCCTCGTCGCTGTTTACCAGCAGAACGTCTTTGAGAACCACCATCGGGTCTTGGTTCTTGATGTCCTCTACGCTAAGGTGGTCAGCTGCGCCTTTCAACCTCTCTTTGATTCGTTGTCGAGCTTCTTCGGTTCTGCATCCCACTACTACTTTGCGGTCTTTGACCTTACGAACTCGTTCAACTGTCACCCAGCCGTCCTTTGCGTTAACAGTCTCGCGAACCCGGTTGATAATCTCGTCTCCCGTCTCCTTATCATCCTTTGACGTTATTATCACTGAGTGCAAGGCTTCCCTTCTGGGGTTCATCGCACTGGTTGAAGCTGTCACTTGTGCGTACGTATTGACAGTTGCGGCTGGTGGTGACCTGACTGTTTCAAGGGACTGCTTCAGTTTCTCAATCTCTGCATAGGTAGAGTTTATCTTTTCCCCTTGTTCCCTTAACAGTTCCACTATCTCCTTTGTCCCCATATCCTTCCTTCCTTCATTCTCATTATTTCCTTTGCGTCCTTCCTTCTCTCCACTTTCATCCGTATTAACCCCCGTGTTTTTTGTTTCAGGTGGCGGTGTCGTCGAGGTCCTGGTTCCGGTCGTCTTTTTGGTAAGTTCTTCCGCATACTCCTTAATCAGCCGGTAGAGGTTGTCCACCGCCAGGATGGCCCCGGCCTTGAGGTCTGTCTTCATGTTGCGAGATTTATTGACATTAAATTTCGCGTACACGAGCCAGTCTCTGGCTTCGGCCATCCTGCCGGTGGGCCCCCTCTTCTTCGGCGCTGGCATCTGCACCTCCTCGGCCGTGTCCGCAGACGGTCTTCGCGTCGGCAGCTCCTTGGGCTGTCGCGGGGATGTTACCTTCTGCTTTATCGGCCGGGGGGGCGCAGATGCCTTCGCCTGTTCCTGCTGCTCGGGAGTATGCGGGTGTGTCTTGGACTTACACGGCTGGGGGTCACTTCGCCCGGCCTCCCACTCTCCTATGCTACGCCGAACACTGGTTGTTCCGGCGGCGTTAGGGCTAGGTCCTGCCTTAGCCTTGTCCTGGGAAAGCCTGGGGCTCCTGTCACTGTCTGTCCTGGTCTTGGCTGGGGTACGAATAGTAGCCATTTTGGGGAAGAGCTACGTCAACACAATAAAATAAAATAAAATAAACTGTAAACTTAAACTATATACGTGTGTCAATAAACTGCACGTATGTCGTCTTGGGGGATAGTAAATAAATACACAATAGTTTTATTTATTAAATCGATGTTTTGTTCTCTGTTTCAGATCGCGCGCAGTCACCAATGGGAGCCTCACCGGGAAATTCCAGGTAAGTGTCAACTCTACTTTGTCTCTATTTGTTCGGGTGTAAAAAGCCCGTGTCCTATATATGTAAGTACAAGAGTACTCGTCCGAGTTCAAAAACGTAAAAGTTTTTGTCGTTCTGTTGTTTTTGATGACTCTACTTTGCTAAAATCTATACTATCCCTAAGACTTAACTTAATCTAACACAATAAAAGAAAAAAATTTTTAAAACTAACAAAATTTTCTATAAATTTAAAAATTTATAGAGTCGCACTCTATGTAGAGTCACTCGCTCTATCCTGCCTAAAAGCCCTCTCCGGGGGTTTACTATCAGCCCAAACCCCGAGCCTCTACGACCACCAGGAGCGGAGATGCAAGCTTTTGAAGTTTCGCAATATGGCGGCCAAAATGGCGGCTTGAAACTTCAAAAATTTGTGGCTCCCGAACGGTTTGTCGCAGGAGGTCGTGCGACGGCTCTCCTGAATAGCCTTCGCGAGCTCTACCCAACTATCTAGCCGTCTCTACTAAATGTAGAGTCGCGTCCAATTTGTATTTTGACGCTTGGGTTGGGTGGGGCAAGGTACACCTAAGTCAATGTTGAAAACCCCGTTGTCCTACGACACTCCTGTCCAAAGTTATGGCGTGTTTTATAAAAACAAAATGGCGGCCCAAGATGGCTGCCGGATTTTAAAATGCCCGTAACTNTCTTATACCGGATTGTGACACGGTCCTCCCCCTCGCGGAGGTCACGGAAAATACTCCCGTTCTGCATCCTTAGTGCCTTCAGAACGTCCGCATCGCTGTTCAGCAACAGGACGTCCTTGAGCACCAGGAGCGGGTCTTTATTTTTCATGTCCTCCGCGATGAGGAGGCCACCCGTGCCCGCAATCCTTTCCTTGACTTTCTGTCTTTCCTCCTCGCTTCCACAGCCCATGATGATCTTGGCATTTTTTGCTTTACGTATTTTCTCAACACGGACCCATCCTTCCTTAGCGTTGACGGCTTCCCTGACCTTCCGCAGCACCTCCTCCCCCGTCTCCATCACATCCTTTGATGAGACGACGACGGAGTGGAGGGCCGACCTGACTGGACGCTGCTGGTTGGGCACGGAAGCCGCCACGCTAGCATATGACGTCTTTTCTAAGGAACTCCGCTGCTTTTCGATCTCTTCCTTCATGGATTCTATTTTAATGTTACTTTCCAACAAAAGTCTCCTGTTTTCCCGTATTTCTGCCACTATCCGATCCTCGTCCACTNTTTTTTTTTTTTTTTTTTTTTTTTTTTTTTTTTTTTTTTTTTTTTTTTTCTATTTACCTCTAGCATAACCAGAGCCTTTTTCATTATTTAATTTTCAATTGTTTTCTGAGGTTTTTAAGGTTTAAGGGTTAGTTGTTGTATTGTTTTCTTGTTTGGTGTTCGATGATTTTGTTGCCATGAAAAGATTCTCCTAATTGCTGTTTTTTAGTTTTCCTATTTAATTTACATATTTTTCTAATTTATATTTACTTTTATTTTCTACTTTTAAAAATTTACATTGTTTGCCAAATTTTTGCTAGTTTTCTAATTTTGATCGAGAGGGAATTTGTATGCAGGTGACATTACACTTAAAATGTTGTGTAGTTGTATTCTAATAATACGACTGCAACATTTTACTATCTGTGCCGTTTCCTGTGTGGTTTTTATTAATTATTTAATTTCTACATTTTATTTCTATATTTATTATTACTATTAAATTGTATCAATTTGCTAATGAAATTGACTCCAATTTGACTATTGTTTTATGGGGTTTTAATTTAATTTTGATTTTAAGTTTTTTGCCAAAAATATGTATGTGCAACAATTGGAGTTGAATTTTGAAGTTCCGGGACAGTTCTACCTACCTACCTAACCAATTTTTTCAAGGAGTCTTCGGTAGTCCCACATCGTAGCGAGCTGGATGGTAATCCCCGGAGATCCTAACTGTATGCCACTGTGGACCTGNAAAATGTTGTGTAGTTGTATTCTCATAATACGACTGCAACATTTTACTATTTGTGCCGTTTCCTGTGTGGTTTTTATTATTTATTAAAATTCTACATATTTATTTTCTATTTTTATTTTTACTATTAAATTGTTTCAATTTGCTAATGAAATTGACTCCAATTTACTATTGTTTTGGGGGTTGTTAATTTTTACTTTAAATTTTAATTGTTTATCGTGCCAAATATTTTGTGTGCAATTGGAGTTAAAATTNTATATAAATTCCAGACTGGGGTCAAGTGGGGGCATACAACTTCTAGTCTTCCAAACATAAAATTTTGAGAAAAATATAAAGGTTAACATTTCGCGATACTTTTTAAAACTATGTGCATTATTATGCACCTTATTGTACAGAAAATAAAAAGTACTTACCCTTATCTTCAAAATCCATCACACAAATATTTGGTCACCGTAGTAAAAAATAATGTCAGGTGTTGTCGAAAGTCGAGCAAAATTAGGAATTAAAAATTACACTATCCTCATATCCTCACTTACCATGTTAATTACTCACGACTAGGTAATTAACAAAGTAAAAAATTGTGGAATCCTTAATGTCTGGGATGTTGTTTATCGTTTTTTATAAACGATAATCAGAAATTCAACAATGACTTTTGTCCAGCTAGCTTGTTCTACACGAATCACAGTGTGGCGGTAGGTAAATATCTATCTATCTATCGTCGATAGAAAGAATGTTCTGGAACATTTTAAACTGATTTACTCCATTCAATGTTTAATATCTCGGAGTAACAAACTTGATAAAATATTTCTGAAGGTAGATCGAAAAAATACGACGCTAATGATCATGGCGCAGTTACACTATGCAGGGAATTGACCGAGACGAAGCGCGAGCTCGCTCACCAAAGTATGGGCGACTTACGGCGAAACTAACTGAAGTGCCTGTTTACACTATCGATACATTTCTCGCATAGTATAACTGCGCCCCTGCCTGTGCGATAATGGGACCGATGGCACAAGCACACTATGCGGAAAATTCCAAGTTGAAACGCACACCGAAGTATGGGCGATGCACGGGTGGGGAAAGGAGAAAGTAACCGTGATAGTGTTCACACTGTTACGTCTTGGACAATTTTTCGCATAGTGTATCTACTTGCGCCACGAGATCGAGCGAGCGACAGGGAGACACTCCGAGAGTTAGCGAGAGCTCCCTGTACACTCGCGCTCGGCCTGTCTCGTGGTTTCTCGTCGTCGAGTTCGTCGAGTGTAACTGCGCCGGCGTAATAACTCGCTCATAATAACAAAATTGATAAAAAATCTGGAGGTAGATCAAGAAAAATTACGACGCTAACGCTATAGTTCCAACTTTAAACGTCGAACACAGAATTCAAGTCTTTTTAAGATGGCTACCGAGCAGTGAGACGTGCTCATGGAAATTTCTTAAAATTACACATTATTGGTCGAATATTTTCCAGTTGGAATAGTAATTTATTTATTTTGAAGTACAATTTATTACCTTCAAATGAAAATTTAACGGTTTCTAAAGTTAAATAAGTTTTTATGAAGTGATAAAGTACGCGACCACGTTGCATCATTATGGTGAGTGAAATATATTATGTATACTAGCTTTCCGCCCGCGGCTTCGCCCGCGTGGAATTTTGTCTGTCACAGAAAAACTTTATCGCGCGCGTCCCTGTTTCAAAAACCGGGATAAAAACTATCCTATGTTCTTTCCCGGGACTCAAACTATCTCTATGCCAAATTTCATCAAAATCGGTTGCGAGGTTTAAGCGGGAAAGCGTAACAGACAGACAGACAGACAGAGTTACTTTCGCATTTATAATATTAGTTGGGATTTGACTAAATTGTTTACAAAAGCAAAAAGCTTGTACTGGTTTTATTGTTATTATTATCATTTGATTTAAAATAGATTAATATCTTAACAAATCACAATGATTAATGTAAAATTGTATTGGGAAATAGGCATCTTTCTTATACTTAACCAATTTAAAAAAACGTGACGATAATTACCTACCCCAGCAAAATTTTAATACTTTAGATTAAGTAGAGAGTCGATAGTATAGCAGTTATTTTAAACGTGAGCAGAAATTTGTTCACTAATAGCAAAATTTGTTCGTTATTGTAGTTTTAAAGTTTTTATAGAAAAAAATAGATTTTGCTGGGGTAGACTTTAGATTAGAGAGTTGAGAATAGGTAGGTATAGCAGATAAATTAGTCCATCGCATCGTGAGCAGAAAGGTTCACTAACAGTAAGATTTTTTGTTCAATTGTAGTTTTAAAATTTTTAGATAAAAAAATAGATTTCGCTGGGGTAATGTTTCAAAAATTACCCTGGCAAATTTCTTTTTTCAAAAAATCTGTCCACCCCGGAACCAAAATTCATAAAATTAAATAGGTAGATAGATAACTAATTTTATATTTTTTTTACAGATATTAATAAATGTTTCTTTAACAAATCAAGGAAACTGGCTTGGCTGTTTCCAAAAAAACAAGTCGTGAAGAATTTTCGAATGTTATGTAAGTACATATTTTTATATTTCTAAATACCTACCTACTTTGTAGTTACATAAAATCTAAATGTACACAGATACTTTTTGTGTTGTATAGCCTATTTATCGAGGAAGGCTTTTGGCTATACTACGTCATCCTACAGCCAATATAGAAAATGGGGCGGAGCAGTAAAAAAAAAATGTTGCAAAAACGGGAAATATTTATTCCAACTACTTACTTACTTAGGTAACACGCGTACGAAGTCGCGGGCACAGCTAGTTTAAATAATAAAAAAAAACTGTTCTGGAGTCTTTTTTTTTTTTTTTTTTACTAATTGCTAAACTTCTTGTTATTTTACTATCCCACAGCTTTGTCAGCAAGCAGCATCGGCTGACAAATATTCAACCGCTGCGATGAATGCAGCTGCCTTGGCACCTACGGCGTGTTATGGCGTCTTGCTGCAACTTGTCAATCCTTTTCACGGGAACTTCGTAAGTACAAAACACGTTCCATATCCCGTTTATTTCCACGCTCGTCTCAAAGTGCTACTTTTAAGCACGCCTTGACGTCACGGGCCTTTTAACTGCACGCTTTATCTCTTTCAACTTTCACTTAGTTTAAAATAAAAACTGCAGCAGCCGCTAGATATACAGACTGTAAATTTTTTGTTGGCAAATAAAATACTGTTCCTTTAATTTTTTTTACTTTTACTTCATTCTTTTTTTTTACTTTTACAGTAAAAGTAAAAGTTTTACTACTCACACTAAGTGGCCACAAGCCAGTAATGTTAAGTGCCAATGTCTAGAAACGTATGTAATCCTGCCTGACGTTTCCCGAATAGTTAGATACTTATGTTTTTTCACATGCCTAATAATTTTATTTATTTTCATTTCAGATTCTACTGAAGGTCCCAGATTCTACGGAAACGAACTGAACACGTGGTGGTCTGGACCTACTGGATGCAGGTGACATGTAACATCGGTCTACTTACCATCAACTTGAGTATAACTAATCCAGTTTTGAATGTAAAAAATACTCATCTTTAACTTCTTAGTTCTGCTTATCCTGCAAAGGCTACCTACTGAAGTGCTTTCTCAGAATCTTCGACTTTTTTTTAACATTTTTTATTTTAAGATATTTTGTAGTTGTCGCGATGATTGCGAAAAAAATATATTTTTTCAATCAGATGACATCATTTCTTTTTCAACAACACAATAATTTATTTTAATCTTTTGAATCTGGTACCTAATATTACCATAAAAACAATGAAAAACATATTTGTTTTGTTTGTAAACGATCTTGGGCATCACCTACATCATTCATGCAGGCAACATTGTGGCAGTTATTTTCTGTCTACCTATTACCCATCTTGAGTTTATTAAACCAGTTTTGTATGTAAAAAATATTTCATCCTTAATTTGTGGATAAGTTGCAGTTTTCTGTCTATCTTGAGCATAATTATTCCAGTTTAGGGTGTAAAAATATTCTACCCTTAATTTTTAATTTATTATTTCTGTTATATTATGATGATTTGCGCGAAAAAAACACCTTTTTTTATCTACGGAGCGCGTATTAAAGAGCGTAGAGTAACTTTAAAAATGCAAATAGTTTTGTAACATTAGAATTATTATTTTTATCCTATGTAATTTTGATTCTAAAAACAAATACTAAGCCGAAACTTTAGGAATGTTGGCACTGTTTTAAACAAGTTTTAGATCCAAAGACAAAATTAATTCGTTACATACATATTTATTTTTATAATACACACAGTGTCACAATATCTACATGAACATTCGATAAAACTATAATCTTCAAGAAATAATATTTTATGTACATATTGATCGAGGCAAGTAAAAATTGTCTAGTTTCATAGAAATTGTACAATCATTAGATAATTATTTATTTATTATTACATTATTTAGCCATTACATCTTTGATTTAAATAGTGTCTTAAATCCTCTTGAGGTTTGTCTAGACACTAATGTTCAAGATCACTATGTCAGTCAGTCAGTCAGTCACCTTTGAGTTATACATATTTAGACGATTTATTCGAAGATTCAGATGAGCATGAGAAACTCTATGGTAGAAAGCTAACTATCGTATCGCACTCGGCATGTACCAGCGGTCACAGTCAAACCACTGGTCTGCAAACACAGGTCAAGCTAAAATTTTTTTTAATTCAGATATTTAATCCTTTTTTTTACCTCTGTCCTCTGATATTTGCTCAAGGGGTTCTTCATTTTGTTTTTTTAAGGAAATAAATATTTTTCATTTTTAAGTAGTAGGAAATGTACTGAAGTAGTACCTACTCAAATAGTATTTTCTTATTTGTACATAAATAGTACATTTGCTCGATTGGTGGGGGCACTGCCGTGCCCCCAGATTCGGCTGATGTGGCCCCCTACAGGCAGAGTTGATTCTCCCCAAGATGGCGTCTAGAGTTTGAGCACAACAAATCCATTCTTGCTTGTATCGTTTTCTAGTGGGTGGTACAGTAAGATCCAGTTTTTAGGTTTTCCTCGACTGATCTTTGATGAGTCTTCCTCCAGGAAATGCATTTCTTCGCTTTCGGATCCGGAGGTTTTTCGACCGGAATTTGGTCCCAGGTCTTTCTATGGACAAGTGCTTGTTCAGCTCTCATTTCCGTTGCTATCAGTCTGTGGACTTTCTGGGTGCACCACGCTTAGTGGTTTTAGAGGTCTTTGCCATGTCTGTCTGCGTTTTTTTAAACTCGAGTTTTTTAGAATTGCATAGACTTTAAATAATACTCACAAAAATAGTACTAAATAGTACTTACATAGTACTTTTAGCTGATGTGCCCCCACAGTAATAACTGTAAGTACTTTCGGCTGAAGTGAAAGATGGTCTTGAGCATAACTATTCCAGTTTTGGGTGTAAAAATATTCCACCATTCTTTTTATCCTTTCAAGGTTACAGTGGAAATTAAATGAAGCACTGCTCCTCCCGTATGCCGTTTTGTATACTAAAAGTTTGTTAGGTTAGATGTTTGTTTCTATGGACACTCGTCTCAAACGACTTAACACGCGTATAAACGATGCTTGAGTAAGTGAAGCAGCAAATCTAACGCACAGCGTTGAATAGAGCTCTGTGATTGGTTCGTGTGTCACCCTGTGCGTCCACGCGCACTGTGAAAGCTCATAGTAGTGTTTGTGAATACGGGCAATAGTGATTTTTGCCTTGAGTATAACTAATCTGGTTCAGTCGTTATTGTAACTTTATTCAGGTTATACATATAACTGTATTCTACTGTACTTTTTAAGCATTTTCTTATTGTAAGGCAGTGTCTCTTAAAGTTATATATTTAGCATAACACATCAATGATGGTCCCAAATCACAAAGAATTTTAAAGGTAAAATGTTTATTTGTTTCTATGACACTAAGTCGTTGAGACAAGTGTTCTGAAATAATTATGAACATTGCTTGATTACTGATCCAGCCTCACCATAGTGCCGTGACCTATTTTATTTACTTTTTTCATTCTGTGATTGGAATTTGTCTCAGGTCTTTCTGAGGACAAGTGCTTGTTCAGCTCTCATATCCATTGCTACCAGCCTCCAGTCTTTCTGGCTGCACAACGAAGCTTCACGCTTTGTGTTCTCAGAGATATTTGCCATCTCTGTCTGCTTTTCGGCCGTGGTGCCTCCCATGGACAGATTTGATATTCTCTTAGCGTCTTGATCTTGAGCAAAAAATTCCAGTTTTGCTCTGCAAGATGGTCTTGAGCATAACTATTCCAGTTTTGTTCTTTTCTTTTATCCTTTAAAGGCTACGGTGGAAATTAAATGAAGCACTGCTCCTCTCGTATGCCATTTTGTATACTAAAAGTATGTTATGTTAAGTTAGACGTTCATTTGTTTTTAGGACACTTAAATCGTTTGAGTGTCCTGAAATTTAGACTTTGGATGGATGATGTCCATTAGAGTTCACATCTGGAGTAAATTAATCCAGTTTTGCTCTCCAAGATAGTCTTGAACTTAACTAATCCAGTTTTGGGTGTAAAAATAACTTAAAAATAACCTTTTTATCCTGTAAAAGCTACAGTGGAAATTAAATGAAGCACTGCTCCTCCCGTATGCCGTTTTGAATAACTAAAAGTCTGTTAGGTTAGATGTTTTGTTTCTATGGACACTCGCCTTAAACGACTTAACACCCGTATAAACGATGCTTGCTTAAGTGAAGCAGCAAATCGAACGCGCAGCGTTGAATAGAGCTCTGTGATTGGTTCGCGTGTCAGTAGGCGGGGCACGCAGGGAAACTCCGAGCACAGCACGCTCCATCGCCCTTTGGGTGACCTTGAGCCTTCTTATGAGGCCCATAGTAAGCGACCACGTCTCAACTCCGTATACCGTATCACTGGCAACAAACACTGGTCAAAGACTTTCTTGTGGGTTCAGTTTTTATCGTAACTTTATTCAGGTTATTCTACTGTACTTTTTAAGCATTTTCTTATTGTAAGGCAGTGTTTCTTAAAGTTATATATTAGTTATATATATTTGGCATAACACATCAATGGTGGTCCCAAATCACAAAGAATTTTAAAGGTAAAGATTGGACAAGTACAACTTAATACCTACGTAAACTTATCTTACAACGAATGTAAACCAATTTCGAATTTGATAAAATTATTTAATAATAATAAATCCTTTATTATACCAAGGTTACAACTTAGTATTGCTAGTGGTCCCCAAACTAGGTTACACCTGTCTCTTGGGAAAGCCACGATAGCCCAACGGTGAAGTGGTCGGACTGGCCGACTCGAGATCCGAGGAACGCGGGTTCGGATCCCACCGCTCGACTATTGTGGTGAGCCCACTCGTAAAACCAGCTTATTTAGCTTACCACGAGGGGCTAACGGGACTATTAGTAATTTGTACCGTTATCTGTAAGTGGTACCGTAAGATCCAGTTTTCAGGTTTTCCTCGACTGATATTTGATGAATCTTTCTTCGAGGGAATGCATTTCTTCGCTTTCGGATCCGGAGGTTTTTCGACCGGAATTTGGTCCCAGGTCTTTCTGTGGACAAGTCGCACCCTTAATAATGAATGGGCACAACTCCAAAATTCAGTTTTTTGGGAAAAGCCAAAAAACCAATCGGCGGATCGCGGTTTTTTACATAATTGGCTCTAAAATCTTTATTTTATCAGCTACAACTTTCAAATTAAGCATACTTCATCACTGGTATCTGTTATATAATTTGACATGAGACATTTTTGAAAATATTGATTGTGAGTATGTAAAAAAATTGTTTAAAAAAATATTTCAAAGTTAGGCCTTTATTTTACTTTTTCTGTTGTTGTGATTTTGGGTATTACTTGTACTTGTGCCCATCTAATCCTTAGGCTGAATTGTTTTATATGGCATATTCCCTAATATTGCTCTCTAATATTTAAAAATAAGTGTATTATTCGATTTTTATATTGATTTACGCCCAATAACATTGGGGACAGTTATTGTGCGGTATAGTAGCTTATAGCCAATTCAGTATAAGAGTAGGGTGCTGAATACTAGAAAATTATTAGATATGTCGAATTAGATTAAAATAAAGACTATTAGCTATTTCTCTGAGAAAACCGACATGAAAATACTAATTTTATGCATTCAAAATATTTTTACTTAGATAGATAGGGACTCTTACCCTATAAAAAATATGCTTTTTATCAAATAAAGAAAAAACCTACAAAAACTTTTTCTGTAAGGTTTTCTGTTATGGATTTGTTCAGGATAATCACTTATTAAAGTCCAACAGCCAGTACCTTGGTATCTTTTTTCCACTATCCTGCTGTCCTGGTGGAAGGAACCGTTCTCCTTGTCCCTTACTATAATCACCCACATTATGTGGGAATCAGTTCAAATGGCTATTGTAAAAAATACAATTTAATACTCAAATTGGCGTGTGTAATTTTTGAAGGATTTTAGCAACCAATTTTGAACACAAGAATATCTATTCTGGTGTTCTAACATTCCCCAAAAAATATTTTACTACTAAAGCACCTTAGCCATGCTTCAGATTCAATTTGTGTTATATGGTTTACAAATACAGTCTTTTATAAGAGCACGGATTTGCAGT